CGCAGCTTCCGCCCCGAGATAACATTAGAATATTTAATTAAGTGGTCAGTGGAGTATGAGCTATACAGTCTCAGATCCTCAGGCTGATCGATGCACAGGTGCGTCTGAGATGATGGGCGCATGCAGACAGATATCTTCTCGCATGATGGTAGAGGACTCAGCTGATTGCATCTCACCGTCGCGCGGAGGGATGGGTGTAGAGGGGGAAGGGGTGGGGGAAGAGGGGAGGGGAGGGGAAAGGGGAGGCGAGGCGAGGGTGCGGTTACGCGGGAGGCCGAGGTCAGCCCGACAAACAGCGTTGGCGCATCTAGCAGGGCATATCTGGTGGCATATGAAGCAGCGGCTATAACGCCGAGGTCTCGCAGCGACAAACTGTGCGATTGCCGGCGTCTGGCAGCGAACACGAGCGCGCCGCGCCTTCCCGGCCCCTGCCGCAGTCCCCGGGCCGCCGGTCTGGCCCCGCCCCGGCCCTGGCTGCGCCCGACCGCGGCTAGTTGTCCTGCGGGGGTTGTCGCGTCGCGCCACCACGGAGGGGTTGGGATTTCGTTTACGGCCAGAGCACAGAATGGGCTGTTCGCGCAAGGGGAGGGGGTGGTTGTGTGGGGGACTGTTGGTGTACCGCGTGGGTTGTGAGGCCAGAAGACTGGTCAATAGGACAGGTGTAACGGATATGGGATGAAAATTAAAAGTAAGAAAATTATGACGTAAGTGGAGGAGCAAGCAAGGTGAGGGATGGGACGATATGGAGTAACCGATAGTTGGCGAGTGGTAGGCGGAATAACTGACGGGTGAGTAGGGAATAGTATGAGGTCGAGCTCAGTAGGACGTGCGGCAATAGTTATGCGGTCGCTAGAATTGTTATGATATATTCAGTGCACCGCGTATAGGTGCTTAGTAGTAGGATATAGCAGTGGGTAGTATGATATAGCATAGAGCTATGAGAATCTATTATAAATCATAGCTGCTATAGTGTACGCATGAGAGACACACTCGCGCGGAGGTAGGTTTAGATAACAGATAGAGATAGAGATTAGATAGAATGATGATGGTGTGTTACTGTGGTGAGCGGTGAGGTAGGTTGGTCGGGGCAGTCGAGTTCTGGCCGCTGTGGTGCCGCGACCGGCGTAGAAAAGCCAGAGTACGGGCGAATTCTGACACCACTGCTTATCCCGGAGCTTAAAGGTCACAATGCAGAGTTTCCCTCCTTCAAACAATACAATGATTTGCCACTTCGGGTCCTGTTTTGTGACGGCTTTTCCGTACTCTATAACAGTTTCATTTCCGGGACATGTTCGAAGCTGGCGGAACATTGGACTGATATTCATTTTCCTGTAAATTTACTTCCTTGTGATATTTCTGCCGTACAACTTTGAACTTTTTGTTTACGTGGTTTTTATTTTTTTTTCCAATTCTCATTTCGAACAAATATGTATGATTGTTTGAAGAAACAAACTTCAGCGAAGATGAATGGCAAGTTTTTCATAACTGATTTTAAAGTTTTCATATGCCGTTTTTTTTCAGTGTATCATTTTAGCTAAAGGATAGAATATTTTTTACGTAACATTCATCTTAAGTCTTTATATTTTTAATCTTTTACAATTTCATTTTATATTAAAGTGTTCTGATAGATGATTTATACCGTTTTGAATTTTAAAATTTCCATGCATATATCTGTATATTTTATTGTCACATAAAAATTGTATTACATTACGAAATATTTATTGGTTTGAAATGCAATATTTTTATGGAAGTTTATTTTTTTGCAAATTATGTTTAACTCTAAACAAAAATATTTTCTTTCCATTATATAAATTCAATAGAAAACATGAATATTAAATAATGAAAATTGTATGTTTAAAATCAGAAGAAAACTATCCAACAATTTGATCTAATACACTAGTTTCGAATACTTATTTTTGCAATTGCACGGATCTTTAGTATATAGAATCACGAGATAGATATATAATTAGTCTACTTTTCTCTATTGATACACCAAAAATTTCTCACGCAATTTTTTTAAAAAATGTTTTTTCTTAATAAACACTCGACACGTAATGGGTATTGGTAGGCGTCGAAGTAAATCTTGCAAGTTTTTGCAATCATCTGATCACTGCACTAAGTTATTTGGTGTAGCTTCGTCAGTCAGAAATGCATCGGGTTCTGAGAGTTGTCCGGATTGGGAGTTGTGGCCCGGGTAGTGGGAGACACTGGATGAGGAAATCGCTTGCACGTTTCCTTCGCCATTTTGCGGAGCGTGGGTTGAACATGCCGCTTACACCTGCTGGCCGGTGGTACACGAAGCACGAGATGGCGGCATTGAGAGGGAAACAAAGCTTTGTAGGCGGTTTTGGATTCGGTGGAAGCTTGCAGCGATACACACAATGTTATTTTGAGGAATAAAGTGTTAATATGTGAACACGTGTACATCCCCAAGGTCTTGTTTTGACAGGTTACTTTCGCACACGCATTTGTAGAGAAGAATAAAATAATTCAGAGGATATTGTTCGCGACTTCAATACGTGTTCGTATTTCGTAAACAAATGTTACTGTAGTTGACACCATGTTTGGCAATGTGAATACAAGGGAGAGGTCTGTTCTGTTAGTCACAATAATTGAAAATTGAACGATGTGAATATCAAGGAAAAGTGAAGGAATCACAGTATACGAACTATTCTGTTCACGCTTTTCAATTACGACTTGTGAACGAAGTTACGGATACGAAAGTTAAATTCTTTACAGTAGATGATTTGGTAAACAAACGTAATGTATTTTTCCTTTTTTTTCAAATTTTTATACGCACTACTTTTTTTACAACTACAATTTTCATTTTCCTTTTACATTTTATTCCTCATACTCTTCAGATGCTCTTTAATACACGATTTAATAATTCAGTGATATTTACGATTATAAATGACATTGTATTATAATGTACCAATATCTAAGCGTTCATCCCTAGGTTTAGTTAGGAAGTATAGAACTGAAGTAAATGACAGACAAGTAAATGACAAATAGCAGACTCATTGATACTCGTACGAACAGACGTAACCAAGTACTAAAAACATCTCCGAAATGAATGTTTTTTGTATTTTAAAAGGAGTTCATTTGTATAAAAAGAGAAATATAACACAACAAATGTTATTGAGTAACTTTTCATCCTTAGTTTGGAACAATCCGAATACATTTCCTC